CTTGGAACACAGCTGATTCGAAGTTATGGCCTACCAAATCTGAAAAAGAAATCACTAATAGCCAAAGCTACTGTTGTAACTTCCTGATTTGGTATTGCATATGCCTCAGGCCACTTGGTGAAATAATCCATCACCACACAAATGTAGTTGTTTCCAGCACGAGTTTGAGTCAAAGGACCAGCAATGTCAATGGCTACTCTTTCTATTCATGTGCCAACTTGATATGACTTCATTGGAGCACGTCCTTTATGATTGGGTCCCCTTTTAGCACAACATGTCCTGCACCATTCTTCCACATCTTACCTCATACCCATCCAGTAAAATCTTTGTCGTAGGTGACTCAATGTCTTCTTAAGTCCGAGATGTCCTCCTGTTAAACTATCATGGGATTGACGCAGCACAACTTCCTGTAACTTTCTCATTATAACAGTTTGCCAGGTCATCACTTCCCATCTGCAGTTTCCCATCTCCGGAGAAGAATACCATCTTCAAGCTTCAACTGATCCTATTGTACTCAATAGTTCTTTGTCACAGGGCTTAGACTAGACACCTTCTCCAAAGCAGAGCACAAAACACTTGGTTTTAGAAAATCAATTACTGGCTTCAAATTTTGGTCTTTCTCCTGCTCTGATTTAATATCTATACCTGGTTCCATTTCACCATCATCAATTCCTTCAGTCACTTTGACTTCAGCTTGATGGCACCTAGTTAGTTCAACCTCTCTTTTAACAGTTACTGGAATTTGGCCTTTGTTGTTCCCAAACGTCATTTTTATCCAAATCAATTACAAACTTCCTCGGTAGTAAGTAGTCCAAGCCTATTATGCATAGGTCTTCAATGGAAGCCAAGTATACTTTGTGTCTGTCCTTCATACCTATGAGCTCAATAGTTACCCACACTGGTCCCCACAACCTTGCAGAATGTCCTGTCACACCACAGAGCTTCTGTATGGCTTCTGATACTCCTTTGAGCATCTTGATACTCACAAGGGTTTGCTGAGACGCAGAATCTATGACAAAGTTGCACTTTTGGCTATCCAGGTTTCCTGTCACGTAGACACTATGTGTGCTTGGCATTTTACACCTAGCTGTTGAGACTTTCACGATGGGGTTGGTGGGCGTACCTCAGCACCAACTACTCCTGGTTTGTCCGAGGCTGACTTGCTCGTAGTATTCTTCTTACACTAGCTCCTCATATATCCTTGCTCTCCACAGTTCCAACAATCTTTCTGGGTAGCAGCCTTTCCTGCTGTATCATCTC